CCTCATGGTGACCAAAGAAACTGTTGAGCTTCTGAGCCAGTCTGGCGATGTTGTTGGATGGTGAGCTGGTGCTGGTCTGATGTGTGGTGTGCCGTATGCCATGCACGTTGTGGGTGCAGGCTCTCAATCTTTTTCTCGTAAGCCACCTTGGCCTCTCTGATGACCCTCCATAATCTGATCTGGCAGAGCTGTGTTGCTGAGCATGGCCAGACCTGAAAGCTTTGTCTTAGGGCTTGAGTGTGGTTACGTTGTAGTGGTACATCTAGCCAATCATCTGGTGTGACATCATCAACAGGCGCAGGACCCCAAGATGGCCAGAAAGAAACATGGCGTCTAATATGGCGTCCTGGAAAGACGCTAGACCCACGCCCTGTGTACTTTAGAACAACTGGACGTAATTCAAATCATTTTCAACAACACCTTGATGGATATTTACAGAAATTAAAGGTAAAACATTGCTTCTTTAAGTTTATACAACAACAATTATGCAAATAATCCACAAGGTGCGTAACACATCCTGGCTGTGGAGGCTTCGTGTGCGTCTTCAATCTTCACTTTATTGTGGCGAGGTTAGGGCTGCCTTTTGTGATCAGGTGAAAACCGATGGACATCAAACAGCTGCCCCTGTAACATCTGGATCCTTGTATGGAGATGCAGCATAACTGTAATCATTTCAATGCTGTTGTTCCTCTCTAGAAAAGTGTCTGAAAACCGGAACAGAAGCAACGAACCCTTTTATTTACCCCTCTGTCTGCCATGAACGACGGGTTTGACACGTGTCTGGACCAGACTTCTCCACACGTGAGCGACGCGCTCTGCTCTCTGGTTTCCTTGTTTTTCCTGTTGACAGTTTTTGTGAATGGAAGCGTAGCCCAGCCCCTCAACAGCTATTCAGATGAATCATTGTGCATTCACAACCGTCCTGAGAGAATTTCAAGCACCCTCCATGCTGCTGCAACAAAAACCTCTTCACAAATAAAACAGCTGATCTGTGACGACTGCACTCGGAGTTCCTGCAGAATGAGTCAACCTTGTGTCAGAGTCGACAGCTGGATCAAACCGTAAGCTTTAGAAATTAGTATTAGTTTTATTCCAGCAGTTTATTCATATGAAGTTGTTTTATTTAGCATCAGCTGGGGTCTCGTTCGCGAGTGAGGGAAAGCCGGAGTGCAAAATGGACAGGTGGATTGGTGCTGCATCTGCAAAGTTCGTATTAAATCAAATATTCAAAGACCAATAAGATTGAACATTCATATTTATGTGGAATATCGCCTCTTCTTGATCTTTCAGTAAAAGTAACCACTTCCATGATGTTACAATAGCCTCGAATTATACATTTTTGATTTCCAATTGGAGGTTCCCACAACCGCCATTTTGACCGTGTCACACTTCTTCACACCCAGACCATCTGAGCTGAGGGCGGGGCGGTTACATTTGGAACAGGGTTGGAGCAAATGAACAAATGTGACTACTAGCTAACTTAGTGTTTTTTTTATACTTTAAATTTTATTTTATTTTTGTGAAGCGCCTTGTGATTTTTATCTTGAGAGGTGATAGATAAAAATTGTTTTCTTTCCTTTAGCTAACACAAGAAGCTAAAAAGGGACTCCGGGGCTGTGGGGTAGCCCACCCGCGCAGCTGACTGGCTTTCATGCGAGGCTGTAGCCATGCTGGTCCAACACATTCTCACACCCAAAGCATCAAAATATGACACGTGTGACCAAGCCTCAATGTATGACGAATCGGGACGCCTCAGCGCGTCAGGAGACGACGATCAGGGACACGCAGGGACACGTGGCTACGCTGGCATCAGTGTTTGACACCCGCGGTCACACGAACATTATTCGACTATTTAACCTTCCCCTCACCCCAATCCTAACCTTAAGGTCAGTAACTGTGACCTTAAGGTTAGGATTGGGGTGAGGGGAAGGTTAAGTAGTTCACAAGTCGTTCTAATGTCCGTCTCACCACCGGCGTCGGATACCGTCGCTCTGGGACGGTGCGTCATCAGTGTGTCCCTGATCGTCGTCTCCTGACGCGCTGGGGCATCCCGAACCATCATATATTGAGGCTTGGTCACACGCGTCATATTTTGACGCTTTGGGTGTGAGAATGTGTTGGCTGGTCGCCTGTGGATATTTATTATGGACTCAGTCCGCCACCATCGTAGTCTGGCGCATAGCTTTTTACATCAACCCACGGGACATTATCTACATGCTAACAGAGTTTTTCTTTGTGTTTATAGCAGGAAGTAAGTAAGTTGTAGTAAGAAAAACGCGGTAGAGCGCCTGCAAAGTGAAGGCAACTCCGGCCTGCTTAGTAACAAAATCATAATTAGGTAAGCTGATTGAGGATATCGGGCTTGCTGGTCCACCGCCGTTAAAAATCTGTGAGTTCACCGTTGTCCATGGTCCCGGCTCTGAGAGCATCGACTCAGCTCTGTGTCGCGCTCCCGGCCGGATGGGAGTTTCGACTTAGCTACTGGTGCTGTGTCGACACTCAACCAGCAAACTATTAGTCAGAAAAATGCAGTTGAGAGACTCAAAAGTGAAGCAGCGTCAACTTAAAGAGCTGTGGTCTCCCTCAGAGATCCACAAGTAACCAGCATGACTACAGTCCTACGTCCGCCTGTCCCTGCTACACGAGAAACGGGAACAGCCAGCCGATTGCTCTAGCAACTCTTCCTGGGCAGGTGACGGAAGCTGGGCACCCGCTCAAGTTTCTTATGCAGCCCCACTAACATGTTTGACCAAGCAGTTAAATGACACAGCATTTTCCCACTCAACCAGCGGAATAAAGTACAGAAATGTCATTTTTCTTACTGATGAAAAGAAGCAGAAAATACTTGGATGATCTGTTAGAGCAGTCAACAACCACAGCTTGCCCTCTTTGTCCAAATAATTCCATGATTAACATCCAAACACGAACACACGAGGACACGACTAAAGTTCAGAGAGTCGAAATGGCCGAACATCTATTAACGTGAGGGAGAGGCTGAGGCCTTTCTTCGGAGCTAACTCTGAAGTCACGCAGCTCTGATGCTCAATAATTTTTCAGATTTTTAAGCATTTAATTCCACTTAACTCATTCATGGCCGGCCGTTTCCTGATCAGAAAAGCCCGTCGCTGCCAGCGTTTTTCAGCGTTTTTACCGTTTTTTAAAGAGTGACAGAAAGTTGCGTGCAAGGATGATGTCGACGCCAAAACAACCAAAACAAAGCGGAGACTCACCTCTTACATCAGGAAGAATCCACGTGTTTCCAGCGTCATCCGTTCTTTCATAATCCGTTGTTGAATTGTGATCGGCAGAAGCTTTTCCGGTTCGCGCCTCACTTTTTTTTTACAGCAGCAGCTGATCACGTGACATGTGACGTACGCGGATGAAGATCGGCTTTGAAGCTGAGATGTTTGTTCTCATGGTGCGGGGGCTCGTCCGACGCCCAGCACAGTAAAAAAAAAAAAACCCCGCAAATGACGACTAGTCGTCATTGGCAGTGAACGAGCTAAACTGAAGACTTACAAAAGAATTCATCCCCTCAGAGTTATAATGGATGTAAACTAGATCTATTAAACCTAAAATGGGGTTTGAACCAGGCTGTAAACATGCTTATCTCTGCTCTGAAACTTGAATTTTTAACATGAGAGTGAATGAGGATTTGCTCTCTTCTGCTGCCAGCACCTAGCGGATGAGGGTGGAACCTAGGGTTCCCCCTTTCCAAGGACACAACAGCAGCCTTGCCCGACGGGAGCTGGGATCAAACCTGCAACCTTCTGATAACTGCACAACCCGCTCTACCTCCTGAGCTACTGCTGTCCCTAAGGAAATAAACTGCAGCTCTAAAGTTTCACTAAAATCCATCCAGTGGTTAATACACTTTCTTCTCTAAAACCACAAACAAAACCAAAGCTAAAACAGTTTCCCTGCCCTCCTCATGGGTGATTCTGCATCTGAACTGGAAGAAGTTTAACTTTTGCTTTTTTACAGTCACTGAACACTTCCTTTCTGGTAAAGAAGGCCCAACAAAGACTCTTCTTCCTTAGGAAACTGAAGGGAGCCGGTCTGTCCCCCCAGCTGCTAAAGAACTTCTACAGAGCCATGATTGAGAGCATCCTATCACTCAGTATGATGGTGTGGTATGGGAGCTGTACCGTCAGAACAAAGAAGACCTGGCCAGGGTGGTGAAAACTGCTCAGTGGATCGTGGGGAGCCCACTACCAGATCTGGACTCAGTATTGGACTACAATTGCTGCTGATTCCTTCCATCCAGGTCACAAACTGTTTATGCCGCTACCATCCAGGAAACGTTACAGGAATATCAAGGCTGCAACCACCAGACTGAGGAACAGCTTCTTCCCTAGGTTGTAATTTACAATGATCCTATTTTGCCATGCTGCCATTGTCCTGTTCACACTTGAGTCTTCTATGTGCAATAACAAGTGGTGCAATAATATCAATCAACATGTCGATCAGTACGATCAGAATGTCAGTCTGCGCAACATTTATCTTTTATATCGTTTAAATTATTCAGCATTTTTACTCATTTTACTAGTGTGTGTATGGCTCCCTAAAGGGAAGGTTATGTATTGTTCTTTTTTTGTTTTACTCTTCATGTTTTTATCATTCTATTTGTGGTCTTAGTGCCCTTTAAGCTGAGAGCTACCAACCAAATTTTGTTATGTGTATGCATAATGTCAATAAAGAATTCCATTAAATTCAATTCGATTCAATTCAACAAAACCAAAGCTAAAACATTTTCCCTGCCTTACTCATGGGTGATTCTGCACCTGAACTGGAAGAAGTTTAACTTTACACACATGCAAAACAAAAGATGAGGAGGTGGGAGCAGGTCCTTCTCTGCTGAGGGTCTGAAGTTTTATGTTTCTTCTTCACATTTTGATGTTTACAGTGAGAAGCAGTGACTCTAACGTGGTCACATCCAGGCTGACTGGAGTTTAAAGTCCTAACACCGCCTCCTCCTCTGTCCACCTCTCCCTCCTCAGGAGCGTCTACTAATGAGCCTGCTCCCCAGAAATGTTGCCATGGAGATGAAGGAGGACTTCCTGAAGCCGCCTGAGAGGATTTTTCACAAGATCTACATCCAGCGCCATGACAATGTCAGGTATGGGGGTGTCATGACAACTGTTGGAGGTGTGAGGGGAGTGATTTGATCCAGGTGTGACATAATGGTCATAAATAGACGAAGAAGAATCCAGACGGGTCGTTAAGGGAAACGGTTAGAGGTGGAGGGAGTGCAGCCGCCCCCATAAGCAGAAAAAAACACATCCAAGTTTAGAAGGCTTGGTTTTATTGTTCTGAAACATGTTATTGTCTCTTTCAGTTTGCTGCTGTTTCCATGGGACCAAAAACCATAAAATAAATCAATAATGTCTCCAAACCAGCAGCAGGTCGAAACAGTGAGTCAGGAACTGGTGAACGTTACTGAGGAAAATATCTCAATGTCTCCTCCGACCTGGAGGAGTTACATCAGTTTGATCAGGAATCAGCAAAGCAAAGACAGGAAACCTCTGGTAATCAGTCTGATATTGTTTTAATGTTTATTAAAATAATTCAGTCACTCAGGCAGTCAGTCAGTCACTCAGGCAGTCAGTCAGTCGTGAGTCAGTCAGTCAGTCAGTCAGTCAGTCGTGAGTCAGTCAGTCAGTCAGTCAGTCAGTCAGTCAGTCAGTCGCGAGTCAGTCAGTCAGTCAGTCAGTCAGTCAGTCAGTCAGTCAGTCAGTCAGTCAGTCAGTCGCGAGTCAGTCAGTCAGTCAGTCAGTCGTGAGTCAGTCAGTCAGTCAGTCAGTCAGTCGTGAGTCAGTCAGTCAGTCAGTCAGTCAGTCAGTCAGTCGCGAGTCAGTCAGTCAGTCAGTCAGTCGTGAGTCAGTCAGTCAGTCAGTCAGTCAGTCGTGAGTCAGTCAGTCAGTCAGTCAGTCAGGCAGTCAGTCAGTCAGTCAGTCGCGAGTCAGTCAGTCAGTCAGTCAGTCGTGAGTCAGTCAGTCAGTCAGTCAGTCAGTCGTGAGTCAGTCAGTCAGTCAGTCGCGAGTCAGTCAGTCAGTCAGTCAGTCGTGAGTCAGTCAGTCAGTCAGTCAGTCAGTCGTGAGTCAGTCAGTCAGTCAGTCAGTCGCGAGTCAGTCAGTCAGTCGTGAGTCAGTCAGTCAGTCAGTCAGTCAGTCGTGAGTCAGTCAGTCAGTCAGTCAGTCAGTCAGTCAGTCGCGAGTCAGTCAGTCAGTCAGTCAGTCGTGAGTCAGTCAGTCAGTCAGTCAGTCAGTCAGTCAGTCGTGAGTCAGTCAGTCAGTCAGTCAGTCGCGAGTCAGTCAGTCAGTCAGTCAGTCACCCCCAAATTCCACTACCTCCGCTCCACTCCGCTCCGCCCCCGCCTTCCGCAGCCGCTCGCTTCCGAACTCAATTTTTACTGGTACCCGCTCTACAATGGCTCTGCTCCGGTGCGGAGACCTGAGGTGGGCAAACAAGCATGCGCGGGATTTTCGAGATCTTGTGATACAGTCCGAGCAATAAACGCGGAAGTTTAGATCCAAACACCCGTTGTGTGGGAGAAGCATCGGCATGAACTGTTTAATCTGCCCGTCATTTGTGTTGAGAGATCCGCAGTGTTTGGATCAACAAAGTGTGACTACTTTGATAGTGAAAACTGTATTTCTGGCTTACTTTTGTGCATTTAAAGTTCAGCCGCCATTGATAGTTGTTTAAAGTTGTTAAACCTGTGCATATGAAACAAAAACGCATTTTGTTTATCGATTTATTGTGAAAAACGGAAGTTGTGCTTGCTCCTTTTCCTGTTGGGCAGTTGTGATTTCTGTCCATTTACTGCGGAGGTGCTCTGGCGTCCGGCGAAAATAGGATCGATTCTATTTTTGCCGGACGCCGGAACAGAGGGCGGCGCACGGCGCCGCACTGCCGGAGCACGGCCGCAGTAGTGGAATTGCTCTGATTGACTACAACGGGACCGATTTTGCTCCGGCGTTCGTGTCGGAGCGGAGCGGAGGTAGTGGAATTTGGGGGTCAGTCAGGCAGGCAGTCTGGCAGTTAGTCAGTCAGGCAGTTAGTCAGTCAGGCTGTGAGTCAGGCAATCAGTCAGGCAGTCAGTCAGTAAGTCAGTCAGTCAGTCAGTCGTGAGTCAGTCAGTCAGTCAGTCAGTCAGTTAGTCAGGCAGGCAGTCAGGCAGTTAGTCAGTCAGGCTGTGAGTCAGGCAATCAGTCAGGCAGGATGTCAGTCAGTCAGTCAGTCAATCAGTCAATCAGGCAGTCAGTCAGTCAGTCAGTCAGTCAGTCAGTCAGTCGCGAGTCAGTCAGTCAGTCAGTCAGTCAGTCAGTCGTGAGTCAGTCAGTCAGTCAGTCGTGAGTCAGTCAGTCAGTCAGGCAGGCAGTCTGGCAGTTAGTCAGTCAGGCTGTGAGTCAGGCAATCAGTCAGTCAGTCAGTCAGTCAGTCAGGCAGGCAGTCTGGCAGTCAGTCAGTCAGTCAGTCAGTCAGGCAGGCAGTCAGGCAGTTAGTCAGTCAGGCTGTGAGTAAGGCAATCAGTCAGGCAGGATGTCAGTCAGTCAGTCAGTCAGTCGCGAGTCAGTCAGTCAGTCAATCAGTCAGTCAGTCAGTCAGGCAGGCAGTCTGGCAGTTAGTCAGTCAGGCTGTGAGTCAGGCAATCAGTCAGTCAGTCAGTCAGGCAGGCAGTCAGGCAGTTAGTCAGTCAGGCTGTGAGTAAGGCAATCAGTCAGGCAGGATGTCAGTCAGTCAGTCAGTCAGTCAGTCAGTCGCGAGTCAGTCAGTCAGTCAATCAGTCAGTCAGTCAGTCAGTCAGTCAGTCGTGAGTCAGTCAGTCAGTCAGTCAGTCAGGCAGGCAGTCTGGCAGTTAGTCAGTCAGGCTGTGAGTCAGGCAATCAGTCAGTCAGTCAGTCAGTCAGTCGTGAGTCAGTCAGTCAGTCAGTCAGTCAGGCAGTCAGTCAGGCTGTGAGTCAGGCAGGATGTCAGTCAGTCGTCAGTCAATCAGTCGATCAGGCAGTCAGTCAGGCAGGCTGTCAGTCAGTCATTCAGGCAGTCAGTCAGCTGGTGGTTTGTTTGGGATCATCGAGAATAAGTAATTTATTCTGGGTAAGACCATCATTTTAATTGTAGCAACTCTCCCCATGAGTGATATCGGTAAGGATTTCCATCTTGTAAGATCATCTTCCACTTTCTTTAAAAGTGGGATGTAGTTTAGTTTGGTTATATCTGCTAACTTGGGAGGGACATTAATTCCCAGGTATGTGACATTCCCTGTCTCCAATTGTGTATTAAGCAAATTGACAAATGAGAAATTAATTGGTAGAACTGTGGATTTTAACCAGTTTATAGAGTAATCTGAAACTCTTGAAAAAGAAAGAGTTTATCAGTTCTATTGAGTGGGAGAGAGAGGATTGAGAATTCTGGAGAAAGAGTAAAACATCATCTGCATGAAGACTGATCTTATGTTCTATTTTCTTACACTCTATCCCTTTAATATCTGTTGTTTGCTTAATTGCGGCTGCTAGTGGTTCGCTAAAGATAGCAAACAGTGAGGGGGAGAGTGGGCATCCCTGCCTGGTCCCCCTCTGAAGACAGAAGCTAGCTGATATTTGGTCGTTTGTCCTGACACGTGCTGTTGGTGAACTGTATAATGTTTGTAGCCAGTTTATGAAGAAGTTCCCAAAGCCAAATTTATGTAAAGTTGCAAATAAGAACTTCCAGTTAACTCTATCAAAAGCCTTTTCTGCATCTAGAGATAATATACTAGTTTCTATGTTTCTACTGTAAGAGAAATCTATCAAATTAAGTAATCTACGTGAGTTTGTGGATGACTGTCTACCCTTAATGAAACCAGTTTGGTCAGCGTGTATTATGAAGGGGGTTACCTTCTCTAATCATTTTGCCAGGGCTTTACAAATTATTTTGAGATCAACATTAATAAGAGAAATTGGGCGCTAGCTGGTAGGAAATGCTGGGTCTTTGCCTGGTTTTAACAAGAGACTAATATTGGCTGAGTTCATGTCTGGCTGTAATCTGCCGCTCTCTTCGATGCCCCTCACCATTCTGAAAGATGTTGGAGCCAGAATGATCCAGAATTCTTTGTAGAGGTGTAGTAGTTTAGAACATGAGCGCGAGTAATCTCAGCAACAAAAACACAAACTTGTTTTCCTGGGATGTTTAGTTTTTTCTCCCTCTTTGAGGCATCTGCTGATTCAGAAGCAAAGCAGGACATGAGTGAGTGTGAGAAGCTGCCCGACTCTGAGCTGATTACACCCCAGTGAGGCGGTAAAGAGAAGAGGAGAGGTGCATTACTGCTGCGTTGTGTATGAGTCGAGTGCCTGGTAGCACATCAACAGCTCTCCAGTCAAGAGCCGGTCCTCCACTTCCCACTGGAGTTTTTTTTTTTTTTTTTTTTTGCTCACCGGCCGTCGGTTTGATGAGTTTTGGAGGAAACTCTTAGCTGACCGGCGGCGCTGGTCAAATATCACGCTACCTGAAACAGCTCTGGCTCGTCTCCAGGGAGCTGCTGGACACACACACACACACACACACACACACACACACACACACACACACACACACACACACGGTGTGGGAAAAAAATGAAATCATCTTAATGTAGCCGTGCGGGGGCCTGACACCCCCCGTGATCACCCACCTCCTTTGATGCAGCCCTGAGAACGTTTGATCACACACATTTCAATTCAAATTCAAAGATACTTTATTAATCCAAGAGGGAAATTAGAGATTTAGCTTCACTCTCGCACACACACGCTCACCCTCACCCCATCCTCACCCGTCTCACATCAGCATGACCTGCAGCAAAGCACCATTCAAAGAAAAACCACACAACAGAGCTCTTCTGCTGAGCAGCCGTCGTGATGCCAGCTTTGCATACATCAGGCTCCAGAGCAACTAAAGCGAGCCCAGCGACGGTCACGGAGGAGGAACAAGGCCCTCCTCGTGCACCCGGAGCTCCAGCCTCAGCTCCTTCCATGTCCATCCTGACCAGAACTCCTGTACTGTATGGCTGAGGATGTTTCCTGGAATCATTCCTGAAACAAATCTGTTTACACTTTTGCAGCAGTGAACAAAACCAGTTAATTCACTTTGCAGAGATGTTTT